AGGGGCATCGTCAACAACAACAACATTTCTTTGGTCTCCGGGTGCAGGTGTTCCAGGTCGGTCTGCTTCGTAAATAATACTGCTTCCAGAGACATGTGAAGCCTCTTCTATCAGGGGGATGTGATAGGGAGAATTGTACACATACTGTTGCCTTTGTGGTACATGTAATGGAGAATACTCCAAATGTGTGAAGGAACTGCCTCGACCTCGGATGGAATCCTGTGTGAAAGGTACATTAGGGCCTAACCTTATGTTAGGCCGCTTTGCAACCTGCAAATTAAAATGAAATAATTTAAAATAAATAGTAATTAATAATATATGTAAGTGCTATTAGATATTACAGTAAATTGTGATATCACTTTATGAAATTATCAATTACTGACATATTTCATAACTGCCCAAAAAAATTGGATGAAATTTTGATAAAGAGTTAATTAATTAATCTAATGTCTCATGAATCTTTCTCTCTCTATATATATAGAGACTCTCTCTTTCTCTACATATATAGAGAGAGAACTAAATTTTTATTTTAAATATTTTACATAAAACTACTTTTTCAACATAACAAAACATAGTTAACACAAAAAGTCTAATCCAGGTATTAACACTGAATTTTCATTTATGTTAGTTGCTGTGACTGTTTGATATTGAAAAACCTTTTCACTGGATTAAGTAATAATGTACTGTTACTTGCTGTTGTGTACTGTTACTGTTAATGTACTGTTACTTAATTACTTTTTTAAAGTTAATCCTGGAGAATATATTAAATGCAAAAGTTAAAATACATTTACATTTTTTTAATAATGCTTTTTAATTAACCGTGAAATTAAACTGTATATTTGGTATATGTTAGCTTTTAAAATTACCTAGATATTAGATATTAATAAGATGACAATAAAATAAAATATCAAAAATTTTAGAATAGATTAAAACAGGTAATTTATTCACTCAAGGAAAATAATTTTCATAAAATTGTGGAACGAAAAAAAATATAGCAAAGAGAATTCACATATCTTTTTAAAAATGCCTCCATTTTTATAGCATGAAATGAGAATGTCTATCTAATAAGAAATACCTCTCATATTTCCCTAAGTGCATTGCAGTTTTAAAGTCACTATTTAGAGTCTTACATTAAAAATTATCACATAAAATATGAAAGAAAGAACTGTAAATTATTAAAAAAACAAATAAACAAACCTGAGGAGGAGAAATAGAATTCTTAGTTTCAACAGATTCATCCTTGCATCCGATGAATTCTGCCATAATTTTTGTGCCTGAAAAATGAATAAAAATTATTATTAAAACATAAAACAGGATTTCTTTTAATGTATTCAATTCTTATGCAACAAATAAAATTTTTTTAACTATGTATTTGATTTATTCTGAGAGAAAGAATTTGCTTAAAAAGTAAAATACATTTCATGCAATATTAAATATATTATATCAAAAATGTTATATTCAACATAACTGTTTGTTAGATTATTAAATAAAAAACTTGGATTAAATATTGTTTACTATATTGATGATGTAACTCGGATTTTTAAGTGTAATTAAAAAATAACAAACTTTAAAAACATGAACAAAAACTATTAACACACACATATATGAATGTATATATATAATATAATCTCTCATAAATGATTGCAACTAATTTTTTTAATCCATAATTTACATTATAGAATTAACTTACACAATTCAGGTAAAGCCAATTTTATTAAAACACATAAAGTGAAAATTTTAATTTTTAGAAAACCTACATCTTTTGAAATATTGATATTCAAAGAAGTTATGTTATTTAAAATAATTTATATGACAACTAATATCATTCATAAAATGAACATTTAAGTAGATGATTTAATAGTATAAGCATTGCTTAAATGTTATAAGCATTAAAAATATTATAATAACTACATAATAATATATAATTTAGAATTAAAAATATTTTGTATAATTATTACACAACAGATTGCAGAATAAATCATTCAAATATAACTTTGTATTTAAATATTTTCAAAAATTTGTATCAATGTGAATTACTTATTTCAATACAATTTAAAAAAATTAATAAAATATTTAATTTACATTATTTTTTTTAAGCTCATGACTTTCAAATAAATTATTTTTGGATGAATGAAATATAACTGAAAAGAAATAAACATTTATTGCACAGTATAAAATAATAAATAAAAATTCTGATCACGCACATTTTATTACGTTTTCGTAGAACATCGTGGAAGTATTTTTTATTTGTTTATTTTAAATATTATGAAACATGTATTGGAAAGAAAGTCAAGCGGTCAAAAAACAAACAAACGATCAATTATATTCAGTCCAGTGAATTGGAAAAATACATCTATTAAATAGCATATAAAAAACGACGAATGACTCACAAACCACGTTAAAATACTATTTTTACTGTGTAAAGAATTTTTATAAAAATAAGTATCCAGAACTCACCATAGAATTAATTAATTCAAAAGTAGAACCCATATAAGAAATTTAAAAAATGAAAACATTAGACTCCTGATTTTTATTTGACCAGCTCTCCACAAGCACTCGCAACACACGCCTAATTCCTCTCGTCGTGGGGGAGAGAGTATCGGGAAAAATCCAATTTTCTGAAATTAAAAACAAACATCTGTCTCTCGGCTGCTTATTTTTTATTAACTCAGTGCGTCAAAAACGTGCAAATAGATTGACTTGTGCTGCCATCTAGTGACTACCAAAGTAGTGATTAATTAATAGAAGTTAATAGAAAAAAATTATTTATATTATAGAAATTTTTTGGTTGATTTTAAGAACTAGGAGTGTAAATATTTTTACTACCAGATCAATAATCATTCTGCTACTGTGTTTCAATTTCATATGCATTGATTGTTACTAAAGTCATCATAATTTTATTTGTAATAAGGAAATTTTACAACTATTAGAGATTTATTTCAAAATTAAAAAATTCTTATATTTCGTTAATTGAAACATTATAAATGTTTTGAATATTATGAAGAAAGGATTATTGAATCCACTTTTTATTGATTTTGAAATCTACTTAAAAAGAAAGGGTTATTGAACCGAATCAAATTTGGAAATAATGAGGTGTTGCCATCTTCTGGATAATTTTGTAAGCTAAAACTGACTCTTAAAATAAAGATGGGGGATATATCTAAGGGTATAAAAAGAAAATGATGGACAATAATAATTTTCGAAAGAAGAAAATCGATAAATGTCTCTGTATTTTATTTATTAATGTATATTTTCTCGTGAAAAATTGTTAGGAGTTAAACCTCTTATTTTTAAACTCACGAATTTAATTAATAAAATATTTTTAAAGAACATCTTCAAGATTTTATTTTAAATATGTATTATTATCTTATATAAAATTAAGGAAATATTAAAAATATATGTATATCAAGATATATGCATACAATTATTTACGTATTGAAAATTGGAAAACTTACTATTTTGTCACACGGACTATTTTTGTCTCTTTATGTTAAAATGTTCCTTACTTGTAAGAATCCAGCACATTTCTCGAAATAAGGAGAACTTGTTAGCAATTTCTTTATAGAAAATACTGGAAACTTCTTAAACATTTTCAAACATAATATCACCTTTGCCAAAATGGCATTGGTATTTTGTAAGAAGAAATATTTTAATTGGTGTATTTAAAAAAAATAATAAAATATTTATCAGAAAAAATAAAATCTAATGAAAAATTTAATCAATAATTAAAAACTACTTGTTAATTTAAACAATCGTTTACAAATTTTTAAAAACTAAATGTATATGGATGTTAGCAATATCTAAATGTATATAAACAAAAAATATATCTAGATGTTGTGCTCCAAATTCAGATCATTCATTAAAAAAGCTTGCAAGCTTAATGGTTCAGTAAAATATCTTCTGTACCATCAGTTGAATATTTGGCAATATTAAAAGTTCTGAGAAGATTTGAATGAAAAAAGAATGATCAGGTATCTATTATCTACCATTCAGTTATTATATATTATATACACACATTATATATATATGCTGTTCCAAATAAGGCAGCATACTATAATGAATTATCTTGCCATTACCGCAACTACTTTGTCGAGCGCAATTTTAAAATAAAACATATTTTGGTCAATCTCATAAGATAAGCAAATAATTCCTGAAACAAATGTACTGAGGGTTAATGTCTTGATAGACTTCTTTCTTGTGTTAAACAAAGAAATTGACACTTTGCATTCCAGTTGTCTCTTTATTGACAAAAGTAATTTAAGTCTAAATTATGAAATGTAGAACAAATTATTTTTCTACCACTTAAGTGTTTAATTTTTTTATTAGACCAGCCGAATCATGTTCCATATTTTAACTTTTCCTCAAAATCAGAGAATCTTTTCTTTTTAAAAATTAAATTAATTGTTAATGAAACATTGACTTTTAATAGTTTCAAATAGTTCGAATCAAGCTTAAAAAACCAAGGTCGCCAGCGATCTGAATATTCCTGCTGTTTGACTATGTGAAAAAATTTTCAATTACGATATTGGAGCATTGTAAATATCCATTCGGCATCAGATGTCACATTTTTTAATGCAGGGTGTCGCATGTTTCAGTGTAGTACGAATTTGGTCTTGAAGAGGAGGAAATGGAAAAACAACCATTAGGGGGAAGAGTTCGATCAAAATTGTGGTAGCACAACACCAAATAATTCCCAAAATGATAAGAAGCATCTCAGCTGTGTTGTTGTTTCTTATCCCACTTGGCTGGCCCAGCCCACACGTACTCCTGATTGAAGGGGAAGGAAGCAGCTTCTGTTGTGATGGAGCACCCGTAGGTAGAAGTCTGACATTGGCTCCGTGACGCTCTTACAGTCATAGGTGACCGGGACCTACGGCTTAAAGTGGATTCCGAACCACTAAAAACATCCATGGCACTGCCGGGGCTCGAACCCGAAACCTGTGGCACCGAGCGCCACAGCGCTAGACACTCGGCCATTCAGGTCCCAAATTTGTGAATGCCTACGGCACGCGGTGTTCCCAGGTGGTCACCCACCCAAGTACTGACCGCGCCCAATGATGCTTGACTTCGGTGATCTAACGAGAACCGGTATATTCAGCATGGTATGGCCGTTAGTCGTTGGCCATCTCAGCTATACGCCCAGTAATACGATGTGGTGCAGTAATATTAGTATCCTGGATACTGTGACATTTTACGTAATAGTCAGATTTGCTGGCTAAGAAGGGCTCATGGATACTCCAACCGCCAGATTAAGAACTCTTAACGCACTCTTAAGCAACTCTTTTCATTCCATGAAACTTTAGATCGAACATCAAATGAGACTTAGATGGAAGGCACTGCTCACTGCTCGTATCTCCTCGAGGAGTTGGAGGAACATGTTGGAACAGGGTATCACGGGTAACAGGGTAGAGAAGGGCTCATGGATACACCAACCGCCAGATTAAGAACGCTTAAGCAACTCTTTTCATTCCATGAAACTTTAGATCAAACATCAAATGAGACTTAGATGGAAGGCACTGCTCACTGTTCGTATCTCCTCGAGGAGTTGGAGGAACATTTTGGAACAGGGTATCACGGGTAACAGGGTAGAGAAGGGCTCATGGATACGCCAACCGCCAGATTAAGAACGCTTAAGCAACTCTTTTCATTCGATGAAACTTTAGATCAAACATCAAATGAAACTTAGATCACTGCTCGTATCACCTCGAGGAGTTGGAGGAACATTTTGAAACAGAGTATTTCGGACAAATCTCGTGAAAAAGCTGCCGTGTAATTTAGACGTGCTGTAGGCCATGACTGTTCGACGAGCCATCTGGCCGCCATTAGCCTTTTTTGATATCCGCATACCAATGCGGTGGTATCAATATCCATTTTTGATATTTGATACCTACCGCATTGGCGTTTTTGATATTCCAAATTACCCCCTTTGTGGGAAAGACGAGATTATGGACAGGCATTATATAGCAGGATGCCCGGCCTAACATGGGAACTCCAAGGAGAAAAGATATTGGAGAGCTGATGAGATATTGACTTTTTTCTTTTATTGTTATCTTTTTTCTTGTGTGTGTTATACTGTTTTGATCTCGTCTCTTGCCATTGGAAAAAAGTAATAATATATATTTTTTATTTACGTCGAGATCCGAGTCTTATTGACCATGTCTCCATGACTAGCCCAATACAAACTAGTCTTGAAGAAGGCATGTCGTATGGACTGCACCGACGAACGCTGTTACTGATTTAGCACTATCCAGGAGATACGTGTAGCCTGAAAATAGGCTACGGACGCGAGTAACATTACCCCCATAACGCTCTACTGTCAAATGAGACCGGTCCCTGCAGTTTAAAGTGGATTCCGAACCACTACAAACATCTGGGACTCAAATCCGACAGTCCACAGAATGGCTGAGGAAAATATTTTCCTGGTTCGATTTGTATTTTGGAAAAAAAAACGGAAAACTCTCAGCAACTGTGAGCTTTGATCTCTTACACATGTTGCTTAAATTGCTAATAAATATCACTGTTTCTATCTTATATGTATTTAATCTATATCCAGACAACGTAGATATCTTTATCCAAATAGGCTCACATTTTGTAATGAATTATCTCCCAATAACCACGGCTAGTTTGTAAATCACAATTTTATAATGGAACATGTGGGCCTGAATGGCCGAATGGCTAGCGCTCTGGCGCTCGGTACCACAGGTATCGGGTTTGAGTCCCGGCGGTGCCATGGATGTTTGCAGTGGTTCGGAATCCACTTTAAACCGTAGATCCCGGTCCTAATAGGATTGTAGAGCGTTGCGGGGGCATTGTTATTCCGCGTCCGTGGCTTATCTTCAAGTTACACGCTCCCCCTGGGTAATGCAAAGTGAGTAACGTGTGTGCAGCGCTTGCCTTAAGGCATCCAAGACCAAGCTGTCTAAGTGTTTGCCAGCTGCATTAGAAAGAAAATAATAATGGAACATGTTTTTAGTAAATCTAAGAAATAAGTTATGAATTCCTAAAGCAATCATACTCTGATAGTTAATATCCTGTTAAATAACACAGTTGAAACTCTAGTTGTCGGGATGAAAAACAAAAAAAAAATAACAACATAGATAGACACTTTGTATCAGTAACATATGCCGCCATTCGTGAATTGAATTTCATTATTTTAGTGAGCGAGCTTACGTGCATAACCGAGAAAGAAAATATTGCATATTAAAAAAGGAAACTATGTTGTAATTAATGTTAAAGAAAATCATTTATCACTCTTGTGTTAGTCTAGACCAGGGGTCGGCAACCTGTGGCTCGCGAGCCACATGTGGCTCTTTGGATCTGAAGCTGCGGCTCTTTAGTTCCATTCGCAAATATTATTTATTTTATCAAAAAAAAAATTTTTTTAAATCGTTCTGAATCGATTAACGACGTTTACGCACCGATTCTATCTCTCAGCCACTTGTACTCGCTTTTCACCCCACCCCTTCCCCGTGAAACGCGTCGTCACTGTCGTCAGTCCATCGGAAGAAGCTCTCGAGTGACGCCGTCGTCGAATGTTTCTTTATAGTTTTTTAAGAGCATCGAGAATTCAATTGGGATTTTACGGAGTCGTTCGCTTTCATATGCAACTCAGATGGCCTTCCGACTTGTCTCATTTGCCACGAAAAACTCGCACACAATAAGAAATCAAATTTAGAGAGACACTTCGATAAAAAACATACTCTGTTTGCTAGTAAATATCCAGCCGGCGAAGAACGAAAAAAAGCTGTCGACGAACTCCAAAAACAAAAACAGCAATCAAGTTCCCTGTTAAGCAACTGGACGCAATCTACAAGTAATGTTAATCTGGCAAACCATTCACAGATGGTGAGTATGCCAAAGATTGCTTCATACGTGCATCTAAAAAACTGTTTCGTTATATTCGTTATATTCATTTCGTTATATTCATTTTCTACTATCCGCTAAAACAGTACAATATAGAATAGCTGAAATGTCTTCAAATGTAACATATTTGCAGGTGGAAGCTATTCAACTTTCTTCTGCTTTATCACTTGCTATAGGTGAGTCTTGCGACATAAAAGACACGGCACAAGTTGCCCTTTTTGTCAGGTATAGGTCTTCCCAAGGTCCAAAAGAAGAACTTCTAGGATTGCTACCACTATCGGGACAAACTAGAGGGGAAGATATAGCGAATGCCGTGCAAAAATGCCTTGAAGACAATAAGATCGATTTAAATAAAATCGCTTCAATAGCAACTGATGGAGCCAGAAGTATGACAGGAAAAAATAAAGGGGCAACAAAGATTCTTCAGAGCAAAATAAACCACGAGATTCTTACGTTTCACTGCATAATATACCAAGAAGCGCTTTGTGCTCAAACATTTCCGGCCGAAATAGTTGTGGTCATGAATTTGGTAATCAAGTTTGTTAACAGCATCTTGTCAAAGCCACTCTACCATGGTCAGTTTAAAGAATTCTTAAACGAAATTGGAGACTCAGTATTCCAACCTCCTTCTTCGCAATAAAGTGCGATGGCTTTCCAAAGGTAAGGTGTTGAAACGTTTTGCTTTGTGCTTGAATGAAATAAATACATTTCTAAATGAAAAAGACATTAATCAAACTGAATTAGAGAACGACAAATGGTTGCAAAAATACTACTTCTACCAAAACCCAGCCTAGATTTTGGTAGAAGAATTGATTTTTTTTGAAGAAAAATCAATTCTTTTTGCAGAAGATATTCAGAGCGGTAAATTACTTCATTTCCAATTTCTAAAGCAATATCGCGATAAAACCAGTGCAACTGTTGGCACGAGGTACTTCAGCACAGTTGTAAAAAAAATTAAAGATAAATTTGCTGACAGATTTTAGCAATTCAAAACCAACAAAATCACTCTAGCATACATAGTAAATCCTCTCAACATAAATAGTAACGAAATCCACATTGAGCCATTTGGAATTGATACCGGATCTCTAGAAATTGCAATTGATCGATTTAAAAAGTAAAGCTTTGTGGAAGGGAAAATTTACAGAGATGAAAAGCAAGTTGGAAGAGTTGGAGGTCCAGAAATGTAAGTACGTAACGCAGCAAAAGTGGACAGCTTTAAAAGAAATGCCGCCGGTTGAGGTCTTTCAAACTCTCCAATAACGCTACGTGATAGTCGCTGTTTATGGTTTTTTCCTTTTTATGATAGCCAATGAATATTATACCATGCGTATCCCAAAATTCCCAAAATATTGATGCCATAACCGTGCCAGCCGACTTTTGCGTCTTTCCACGCTTTGGAGTCGGTTCATCATGTGCAGTCCACTCTGCTGACTGTCGATTCGACTCCGGTGTGAAATGATGGAGCGATGTTTCATCCATTGTCACGAGTTTATTATGATTGAACAGCTCCAAACAATGCTTAGAATCATCAATTCGTTGTTGTTTTTGGTCGATTGTGAGCTCGCGTGGCACCCACTTTGAACAGAGCTTTCGCATATCCAAATATTCATTCACGATATGCCCAACACGTTCCTTTGATATCTTTAGGGTCTCAGCTATCTCAATCATCTTCACTTTACGGTTATCAGAAATTAACTTGTGGACTTTTTTTGATGTTTTCGTCGGTAACAGCTTCTTTGGGACGTCCACTGCGTGCATCATCCTCGGTGCTCATTTCGCCTCGTTTAAATTTAGCAAACCACTTCTCTACGGATGATTTTCTTGGCGCAAAGTCCGAATAATGTTTATCAAACCAAGCCTTGGCTTCAATAGTATTTTTTTTCGCCAAAAAGCAATGCTTTATTAACACAAATTCCTTTTTATCCATTTTTTCAAACTAACAAAAGTTGCTTCACTAAAAATGCTATAACTCACATACTAATATTGCAACAGCTGTCAAATTTATACACGTGTCTTTTGAAGGTTAGGGCTAACTAAAAATTATATGGATTTAATGCTAGTAGAGCCATTTATGTGTCAGCCGATGAACATTTCAGCCACCTGTTAAAAGTAAAGTAAGAAACCAACTAACAAATGAAAATTTAGAGTCGTGTTTGAAACTTAAAACAGCAAATTATGAACCAAATTTATCCAAAAGCCAACGCTCCCATTGAATTTTTTGCTCAAATGTTATGTTATTGTTTTTTTTAT